AAAAAAAAAGAGTAACATCCTAATTGTTCTCGTTCAAGCATTCTGACCGTGGTGAGAAAGGCAGCAGGAGTTTGGTGTCCCTTGGAGAACAAAAAGAGCAGAAGGGCAGGGGGGGATGAGGGTGGTGGCAGCAACACAAACTGGGTGGGACCCTGGAGGGACAGAAGTGTGCTGGGCCGTTGGCTTTTCTTTTGAGACAAAAGAAAACAAAAGGGGGGTCAGGGCAAGTCACAGCGAGGCCGATGACTTCCAGCCGTGGTTTCAGTCACTGTCCGTCCCTCTCGAGTGCTAGCGGTGAACATTCACTTCAAGGAGTCTTGCAAAACGCTTTGTTATCAACAGGGGGATTCTTTTCCTTTTCCTTCTCCCGTCTGCTGGGATTTTCCCGTGGCTCTGGCATTCCCTGCCCCCCTGGTTAGCTGTTCTCGCTCCACTCTGGCACCATCCCCACGCCGTGCACCGAGTGGTACTGGTGGGGCGACAGGGTTCGAGGCACGCCGTGGGAATAGAGGAATTCCGCCGGCTGCAGGCTGCTGGGAGGGGACTGGATGCCCGTTTGAGGTCCACACTGCCTGACGATGGGCTGGTGAGAGCTTTGGTGCTGGAACATGCTGTGGGTGTCTGCGATTTGGGGCGACGTGTGGTTGGCCACGCTGCCCAAGCGGGGCATCAGCGGCCCCGAGGTGAAGTGGGCAGAGAAATGCTGGTAGGGTAACCTGTCCATGGGCTGCATGGCAGACACTGTGCAACTGCTGTACGAGGGCACGCTGGGCCACGTGTTACAGCTGATGTCCTCCAGGCTGGGCACGGGCTCCGTGGACGGCGCCGAGCTGGCGTACATGCAGGCCTGGCGCTGCGCCGACTCAGTCCTGTACGACGTGTTCAGTCCCTGCTGCTGCGGGTAACTGGACCTGTAGAAAGGGTCCTCGTCTGCTGGAGAGGTCTCCATGTAGGGCTTCTTGTAGGGATGCTCGGTGGTGGAACATTCCTCATCTGTTGGGAGAGAAAAGTCCTGGTAGCCACCAATGATAAGGCGCCCGCAGCCGAGCATCCCTATCCACACTCCTGCTTTTACCGAGAAAATCTGACACTGCCCTCGGGGTAAATCCCCATCGTTTCCCTGGAATGGATCTCAGTTTATCCTGTGGAAACCCAGCCTTGCATCTGGCCCGCTCTGCTGGAGCAGGGAAGGGCTTAGCCAGGAGCTCTGGGAAGAAAATGAAGATGCTGGAGGGATCCTGAGGTTTATCGGGCTTGGTGATCCCCCCATATGCTCCCCATCTCCTTCCTGCTGCCACTTTTACCTGAGGAATAACATCTGCCTGTGACCTCTGCACCTAGCAGGATCCCCCCTCTCCCCCAGGAGGCTCAAAGCTGATGCCGTCAGCTCAAATCCTTTACAATAAAATATTTCCATGATAAAATATAAATGATAAAAAGAGACAAAAATGGAGATCACAATAAAATCCTCCCAGCGTTGGGACAATCAGATTTGGAGTTTGACAGCCCCAGCCTTCAGCTGTGCCAAGGCAGCTCGGCACATAAATCCACACAGGGCTGTGGGCACATAAATCCACACAGGGCCGTGTGCTGGAGCCAAGGGGAACAAAGGAGAAAAGTAAATTTCACAGCTAGAAACAACAAGGCACATCTTGCAGAGCCCTTTGTTTCCTGCAGCATCCCAGGCCAGCAGAGGGAAGGAGATAAACAATTTAGGTGAAATCTCCAGGGTGAGGCCAAATGAATAAATGAATGTGCACTTATTTATTCATTCACAGGGTCATCAAATGAAATCCAGCTCTGCTGGAATGGATGGCAAAATTCCCAGGGATGAACACTTCACCGAGAGACTTTAAGGACAGTGTGGCAAGGGAAGGGGAGCTGTTCTGACATGGATTAACTTTGCTGCTGCTTCAAAAACAGGATTTCTGGTGCAGGCAGGAAAACATCCTACTTGGTTAGAGCTGTCCTGGCTGCACCCTTTGAACAGGGGTCAAATTTGAAAGAAATTTGGAACAAGTTACCCTTTACAGTTTTTCTCCACCAACGTTTTGAGCTGTAATTTTTTTCACCCCCAAAATACGGTGGGGAAACAATCCCCAAGCAGTTGCACAGAAAGGAGGACTGAGATCATCTGCCCCACAAGAGGCACAGAGTGTTGCTGCTGGGCTGCTCCGAGGAGAATGCCCATGTCACATCTTCAGGAGGGGCAGGTGGGCAGTGCAGGCATCCTTTGTTTCTTCTAACACGCACATGTACGTAACCCTTATTGCTCTAAACAGCCACGAGGGCTCTGCTGGAAGCTGCACCCTCTCTGCATGTAAAACAACCCCTTCTTCCCACCCAGGGGTCTTCCAAATCCAGCGTGGAACAACTGCTGCTGTTCATCTTGGTCCAACAATCCCACAGAGAGCAGGTACTGAGGGACACCATGGGGACGTCCCCACAGTGGCCTTTGGCTCTGTGCTAGCGTAAATTCAGCTGGAAAGCCACAGCCCCGTTTCTTTCTTCCTGACAACATCAAAGCCTGGCTCCTTCACCTCAGCAATGCAGAGCCCTGATAATCGAGTTTCTCCTGTGCCTTCCCTGTGAATTGGGCTGGGAAGCAGGATGAGATAAATGAGCAATTCCATCCCATTTTTAAAACCAGCTGAAACAATGAGCAAGGAGATGCAGGAATGTGTCATCCTCCTTAACCAGCTCAGGTCCCATTTTCGTAGGAGAGGGGAAAGGATGAAGTCCCCTGAAAGCCAAAAGCTGGAGGCACAGGTCTAACCTCTCTCCTGATCTCAGCTCCATGACAGGAGATACATCTGGAAGAACAGCCTGAGCTGGAGCTTTTATGGACAGTGTAAAAAGTTTGGATTCCTGACCCACCGCTGAGTAATAAGAACACTGGGGTGGAAAAACAATGTCTTGTAAAATGCAGCATTGTTCTGCTAATAAAGTTTTCAGCATTAAACCGCATCACTCTGCTGGCACCAGAAATCATTGGCTTGGGGTTTGACTGTTTATTTTATTTTGATTTTTTAAAATATACAACACAAACCAGTCAAACTCTGTTTTTCCATGGTGTAAAACTGCCTGACTTACAACCTGAGCTTGCTGATTTTTCCATTTAGCCCAGACATTTCACTGCCTGCCACAGCCCAGCTGGGCAGAGCTGCAGTGTGACAGAAGCACTTCCAGAATCCATCACAGGTGAAGAGGAAAAAACATGGGATTTCAGTGGAAACCCCATAAGTACCCTCTGTCCTTCTGTAAGCTCTCAGGATCACTCTGCTGGTCCCTCTAGATCCAGGTTCCCTGATGTTTTATGTGGAAAGGAGTTTTAAGGTGTGTAAGGACCTTGTTCCCATCTCCAAACAGGACCTAGGCACTAACAAAGGATTGCAGCCTGCCCTAACAGCTTCTGCCTGTTCTCCTGCCCCTCTTCCCAGGGATTTTCCCATTTATGGAGCCCCAAAGTGCTGGAGAGGGAAGAGGATGGTCCATGTGCCTCCCGAGGTGGGATGGTGCAGAGCAGAGAGCCTCAGCTGGGGCTGCCTGAGGGATTTACAGCAGCCCAGGCTCTCTGGTCTTATCCCACCACTCCTCACAGAGGAGACCAGAGCCAGCACAGAGCAGCTGGAGGGTGGAAAGGTGACATCTTCAGTGACAAAAGGAGCACAAGACAAACAGGTCTCTCAGGCAATGCCAAAGGCTGCAGTTTCAATTCATCCTCACGGGCTCTGGAGCCTGGACAGCGCAGCTCAAGGGACAATCCTGTCCCTGAATATCCTCTTACGTCCTCCTGTCAAGGACACTGGAGATATGTGCTGCCTGTTGAGGGTTTGATTGCTGGTGCTGGTTCCCTGACAGCAGCTCCTTGTCCTTTTCCAGGTGCCACTGAGCCCTCAGAGGGGTTGTTGGCTATCCTGGGAGATATCCTGATCATCCCCCCCTTGTTGCTGCTATTCTTGGAAGCCAGGGGTGGTGATCAGGTCTAGGGAGCAGCCCCTCGATGCTGCACAAACCTCAAAAAGCAGGAGGTGCTGCCAAGCAGGGGCAGCTGCCAGCACCAGGGAGAAGCTGCTCTGAAGTGAATCCAAGGAAAACGGAGCCTGAAGAATGGGGTGGAAACTGGCTCCCTCACAAGGAATTTGATGATCTATCTCATGAAGGAGCTTGAGCGAGAGCATGAGTGCTTCCAAGGTTTCCGGTATTTACTACTTCCAGCTGGGTTGTAAATACCACGCAAATGGCCTTTTAAATGGAATTTTCCCAATTCCAAGATTCGGGCCACGTCAAATGAAATGCAAACATGGAAAGCCTCTGGACTTCAGGGTGCACTGGGCCTCCCTCTCCCCCCTGGTGTAAATCAGGAGAGCTCCTTCCCCATACGTGACACTCGGCTCCCTAGGGTGGAAGACAATGAAGAATGGGACACGACTCCTTTGGTTTTCAGAGCTCACCCACACTTCCAGGGCGTTACAGGAGGCTCATCCTGACTTTGTGAGAGACACACAATGGGTGATTATCACTAACTCTGTTGTTTTATCCTGTCTGGATTCCAGCATGAATCTGGCATGAGTCTGAAGAGCCAATAGCAGGGTGCAAGAGTGACAAAGGTCGTCCAAGAAGAAAAGAACAAGGCAGATTCAATCAAAATGAACATCTCTAAGGGGCAAATAAGTCCTAAATCCTAGGACACAGAACCTAAGGCATGCCAGCCATTCCAGCTGCATCTCACTGTCTGTGATATGGCTGTGTTGTGTTGAACACGACAGGGCTGTGGGGCAGGGACAATCCAACCCCCAAAATCTGGAATCTTCTCCACAGGCAGCAAGCTGCCAGCACTCCCTGCAGGGGCACAGGAGGCACCTCTGACTGGAGAGGGGGTTCAGAGAATGGATCAGGTCGGAAGGGACCACAGTGGGTTACCTGGTCCAACCTCCCTGCTCCAGCAGGGTCATCCCAGAGCACATGGCAAAGGATTGTGTCCAGAAAATTCTGGAATATCTCCAGTGAGGAGACTCCACACCCTCCTGGGCAGCCTGACTGGAAAGAAGTTCTTCCTCATGTTCAGGTGGAACCTCCCAGGCATCAGCTCCTGCCTGTTGTCCTGCTGCTGGACACCATGGAGCAGAGCCTGGTCCATGCCCTGGCACCTCCCTGCAGACACTGACAGACCTGATGGGGTCCCCTCTTAGTCAAGACTGGCCCAGCTCCCTCAGCATTTCCTCATTAGGGATGTGAAACTACATTGCCACAAGAGCGTGGCTGCTCAGCAAGAGCTGGGTGCACCCCAGCTCCCTGCACATCCCCCCACGTAGGGAGTTCCTTCCTCACCCTCAGTGTCCCACAGCCACCCTGCTGTGGGCTCCACTGCATCCCTGCAGCTGCAGCACAGCCTGAGCCTTGGCCAGCTCATCACATCTCCAAACAGCAGCAGGGTGAGCAGCGTGTCCTCCAAGGAGGCATCCCGTGCCCGAATCTTGTCCTACAGATTCTTTGAGTGAAAAAAAGCAAAGCTGGGTGGGATGTGGGAGAAGGTGGTTTGGTCAACAAAGAGGTCTGTGCACACTGACAGTGCCTGTTCTTGAGGAGAAGGTGGAAAGGCATTGCTGTACCAGCACTGACCTTATCAGAGCAGGAAGGAGAGGAAAGAGAAATCCTTCCCCAGGGTGATGTCCAAGTTAGGGGGCTGAAGGACATGGTCCTTGCTGGTTGGAGCCAGTGGATTCTGCCACATCCCTCTTCTCCCTCAGAGTGCCAACATGACAACTTTTATAACCTCCCCAGGGAGAGGCTGTTCCAGTTGCCTCCTGTTCAGCATCGCAAGCATCCCAGAAATCTGCCAAGTGGTTGGGATTGTGTAAGGCTGGGAGGGAGCAGAGGTTTAGAGGGATGACTATTTAGTCCACAGGATGTCTGAGAGAGAGGATAATACAAGGGAAAACAAGGCCCAGTATCCTAACTGGGATGTGGGGCTGAATGAAAGACACAAGGCAAGCTGCCTGTTGGGCTTCTCCAAGCACAACAATGGGAAAGGGAGAGGTGGAGAACAACCAGAAAAAAAGACAAAGCTCCAACTGCTCTTTATGTCAGCCTAAAAATCCACATCAAGAGCTGAGGCCACTCCTTGACGAGATCCAGGGTTGGAGGTAGTCCATCCTCTCAAGACCAGTGCCTTTGTCACATGCCATCAGCAATCCCAGTGTGGGGCTGGGATACAAGGCAGGATGATCCTTGCCATTCCCCATTCCTGGAACAACAACCCCACTGCAGTGCACCGGGGTCATTCCCAATGCTGTGACCCTGCCCTCCCACCTGCACGCCAGGAATCACCAGATTAGGAGCTCTGGGATGTGTCCTTCCTTCCTTCCTCAGCCAGGAGAGCATCACCTCCCCGAAGCAGGGGAGCCTTCAGAGATAACACCCCCTGGCAGCCCTGCTGCTCTCCCCTAATGTAATTCCATATCAGATCTCCACAGTGAATCCATCTTGCCTTGACAGCTAAGAACAACACTGCCAGCCACAGAGAATTATCCTTGTCTTGGGTCACCAGGAAAGCAGAAGTTGAACAAGGTTCCTTTGAGCTGGGTGAACACAGACCTGTCCCTAACTGAGCTAACCCAAGGCTTGCCTCTGATTGAAGAGGAGGCAGAGAAGCTTCAGGAGATGTCAAAGCTGGAAGGAGACCAGCTTGGAATTCACCCCAGAAGATGCAGACAGCAGCTGGTCTCAAAGCCAGCTGAACTGCCCTCTGCCCCCGAGAGCACTTATCCATAGCCACAGCCTTGGGAGAGGAAATAATCCACTTGGGATAAATCCTAAACTGTCTGAGTAGGAGTCAGTGCTTGGGCAGTGGGTAGTCCAACACAATCAATAAGATTTCTAGTCCAGAAAATGGACAGAGGGACAGACGGAACAAACAAACTCTTGCTTTTGAGTTTTCTGAGGTGGTGAGGCTTGATAACTGTTAAGCACAAATGTAGGAAAGCAGGAGTACTATGAAGGGAAACTCAGAAATGAGAGGCTGGAAGAGCAAAAAAAAGAGGAACATCATACAGAGGATTATTTTCCCATGTCCAACAAAGATCCTTGCTGGTGCTGGAAGTTCCACGCTCAGTGACATGAAACCTCGTATCACGCTCCGATTTATCCAACACGATTCGCTCATCTCTAGTGAATTTTTTTTTCCTTTTAATTAATTTCACTTTGCAAAGAGCTGCTTGGCAGCTCGGGCTGGCTCTCTGGTTCCCATTAACTTTGTGTTTCTTTCCTCTCAGCCCTGGTGGCTGTTTTCGATTTACCGAAGGCGCGGGGAGGGGAGGGAAGCAGCGGGACACCCAACCTTGGGAAGAAGCCGCGGGTACCGGGCAGGACGCTGCTCCTCTTTGATTAAAGCCTTTGGCGGCTTTGATAAAAGGCCCTTAACTGCTCGTGCCACTCAAGCCATGGCAGAGATAAGGAGGGGCCATGGGCCCTGGGACCAGGCCTCCCTTGGCCGGTCCCCCGCGCGGGGCGAGGGCCACGCAGGGCAAGAGGGGCCGGGAGCTTTATTCCAGGGCAGATAGCCGTGTCCTCTGTGACAATAAGAGGAAGTGAGATAATTGGGGGATTGAGGGAAACCACCCATGGAGACACCACTTAGCGGGAATCCCAAAACTGGAAGGAAACCTCTGTCGATTCCTTATCGCGTTACAATGCGGAGGCGAATGATGAATTGCCCCGCGGGGCAGGGACACGCAGCAGTCGGGGATGGTCCCGAGGGCTGGCTGTCATTTGGGCCGGCTTGTTTTGGTTAGTTTTGGAAAAAGGGGAAGAGGAGAGGTGAGAGCTCAGCTCCCAGGACAGAGGGGCTGGGAAAGGAGTCCCAGGAGCTGCAGCTCCCGGCAATGAGGAGGGATCAGGCATCACCTTCCAGCACCAGCAGTGGGACTTTGCAGCACCCCAGCAGCTCACAGCCCCAGCAGTGCAGGGGCAAAACAGGCCACACACCCCACCTCTGACCTGGGGACACTTTGGGTGGCCACTGCATCTCCTTATTCCCTGCCTTACAGCCAACTCAAGGCCAGCGTTTCCAATCCCTGCTCTGACACGTTCTACGTGAGCACAGTCACCTGGTCAGCTGGAGGGGACAGAAAATGCCACCTGTTTTCCATTGTTTACCTCAATCTCAGGAAAATATTAGTATTTCTCAGTTTGTTTGGTTGTTTTTTTTTCCTTTGCATACCTGTACACAACCCACGTGCTCCTACAATATCTGGGGGATTCACCAAGGACGTGGGAGAGATTTCCACTGGCCTCCTGCCTCCTCTGCCAGTACTTCCCAGCCTTCCCTACCTTAGACTGTGTGTCTGCACATCCCAGTGCTCCAGGGGTTATGTTGCTAAAAATAATGGCATGTGTCTGACTGATAGGGTCACACAGGGAAGCGGGAAGGGCTCTGCTGTGGGGAGAAATTCCTGCTGCACTCAATGCCATGGTGCTTGCTGCCTTCTGGTAGCTTTTCCATAGAGGAAATCCCAAGAAGGGCAACAGGGTTGGCAGAAACCAGCTCCTGCCCATCCCTTGTTACATCCAGCCCTGGGAATCCCCTATTTTTTTTCCAAGTAAAACTGATCTAAAGCTTTTGCTATCTCAGTCCTACAAGTGGTGCTGCATTGAAGCATTCCCACTGCTTTGGGAGAGGAGGGCAGAGAGCACAAACCCCTCGCTCCTGCCTAGAACAATTATCCCATCACTGTCAGGGGCTCTTCACGCCAGGACGAGCTGAGCAGTCAGTGGAAAGCCCTCACAGTTTGATCCCTAAAGCTCTGTCAAAGCTGCTCAGTGGCAGCAGGAGGGAAGGACCATGGATATCATGGGTTTCAATCCCAGGCACCCTTCATTAGCCCAAGCATTTTCACAGAAAGAAAACTGTCTCCCAACTGTGAGACAGCCCTGAGTTGAAAACTGGGCAAAATACAAACTGTCAAGGTATCTCCACTTGGAGATTAACCCTGTCTGAGGGGCTGCAGATAAGTCATCTTTATCTCCAGCACCAGCTATCTCTCCAAATGTGGATTCATGGTGGGTGAAAGGCACTGCCAGCCCTCCAGACAGCTCATTCCCAAGCCAGCAGAAATGGGATTTTAGAGTTTCCCAGCCCAGCCTGGGGGAGCTGCCCACAGCCCTCATGCCTCGCTCATCCTCCAGCAACATTTGTTGTGTGCTATTTTTGCCAAAAAAATCAACAATTGGGGGAGCGAGACAAAGGAAAGTATTTTCTCACTGAGTATCTAAAATACTCTCTTTCTTTCATTTTGATGTCTTTCTATCCACAAAGGCACTTATCCTTGGAGCTGTCCAAGGGGAAACATCAGGAAAACAATGCTGACAGTCATGCTAGGAGGGGGAAAGCACGAAGCAGGGAGCAGACAAGCTCTGACCTTTTCTCTTGGTGCAGTGGTAGATCTGGCCGTGCTCCTGGGAGATGGGGTAGGGGTTGGCAGGAGGCAGCAGGTCCTGGGAGGTGCTGGACACCCCGTTCTCACACTGGTACTGGGAGCCCAGGTTGGAGGAGGCAGAAAGGACCCTGGTCTCGCCACTGAAGGGGCTGTGATTCGAGGACACTTTTTGTCTCACTGTGCTCCTGGGAACAACTGGGTACTCTTTACTACAAGCAAAGAAACAAAAGAGAAACAAGTTAGCAAAGCAATCAATTAATAAATAGATCAGAGGATTAATAAATGAAGGCAGCACATTAGTGTCGTGGAGTTTGTTTAGGCTTTCAGGGAAATGGAGATATCCCTCCCAGGAGGCTGCAGCCCCGCCACACTTTATCCATGCAGAACTCGTTATTCCCTTTCCTTTTAGTCCCCTTAAATTCATGCCTTTTCCACCACCAGTATTTTATACACACACATAAAATATATAAATGCAGTTTCAGCAAAATAAACACGATTTCTGTTTACATATTGTAGCATTTATAAGCTGTATACTGTTTGTAATGTATTTGCAATATGCACATGCATGTAAATAAAAACATCATTTCTGCCAAACTGACTTGGAAATTAATTAAATATTTAGGTCTATTTTTTTTCCCCTTACAGTAGTTGTCCCTACTCCTTTTGCCTCGAGTCTGTCAGCCTGGTTGTCCTGGATGGGGGATCCCTGCACCACAGAGCAAGCTCAGAAAAGAGAAATAAATAAATCACTGAGATTTGATGCACACCAGAGCCTCAGCAGAGCCAGGATGGGAGGGAAAGCCTGGACTGTTCTCTTCCTCCCAGATCTGGTTTGAAGTTGGGATGCTTTGCCAGCACAGGCTGGAAATCCCCTCTCCTCAAAGACCCTTTGGTGTTTTCTGGAGATGTTTCTCCAAACACATTGGCAGTGTGGCCTAAAGATGATTGCTACTCTGCAGAGAGAGCTGAAGCTGAACAGGGGTTCTCGAACACTTCAGGTGAGGTAAAAGTCTCCTCCTGAACTCACAGACTTGTTAAAATGCATAAAGATCAGGTAGTTCAGCATCTCAAAATGTCACCAGGCCCCGAGCAGCCACAAAAGCACTGATTCAAACACAAGTTTTTTCCTCTGAGTCTCCAACCACTGGACCAAGCTGGCTTTGAGGTACCCCCCTCACCTGTCCAAAATCATTGTGCTCGAGCTCCTTAAATGCCATGCACAGGCTCACCTGGCCATTTGCAGGCAGAGGAGGAGTCCTGAACCTGCAGTGACACCCCTCAGGGGGGATCTATCACCGCAGAACTCAGAACTTATTTACAAAATTTAACAATAGCAATCATATAAACCTACGCCAGCAGGGAGCTTTCATCCAAACCACTGCTGTGGTTCCTGCCAGAAACATCAGCAACCGAGCTGGAATGGAAGGGAAATTCACCCAGGAGCTCAAACGCAAAGAAATGTGGCTCTGGTTGGGCCATGAAAGCTTTCCCAAGCCGGGAACCAGGGGCTTGCCAAGGAAAGCCTGTCCAAAGGTGGGGTTTCATCCCCTGGAAGCAGCATTTGCTCAGAACTAAAATCCAGGCTGTGCACGAGGAATAAAAGACAGATGGACTAGGAGGAAGCAGAGCTTTAGCCCTCGGATATTCAGGGCAGCCGTGGATGCCAGGATGCGTGGTGGGATTCAGAGGACCTGCCTGTGGACACCCAGCACTTAATTCCACCGGGAGATTTAGCAGGAGGGCAGCTTTGGTGCCTTCTGGGGAAGGTCAAGAGCTGTGGTCATCAAACCTCAGGGATGACCCTCAGATCTCCCGGGTTCTAAGGGATCTCCCAGCCCTCTCAGGTCATAGCTTTGAGCTGCCTGTTCCACCTTCACACTGGGATCCTCCATGAAAACTGCACCAATACAACACCCCAAAGTGCATCCTCACCTTGTTTCCCTCCCAAGGAGATGTCCTGCCAGGAGGTGACTCCTGGGTGTGCCCTTAGCTCTCCTTCTCAAGGAGAGTCTGCGTGGGTTGGCTGGGTTCATCTCTCTTAGCCTCACATGACCAACACCCAATTCCCAAAAAATGACAGAGACTCCTTTTGTTTCCCAGGGGGAGCCTGAGCGCTCCAGTGGAGGAGGAAGAGGGACATACCATGGCATGATGCCAGGCCGTGTGACACTCGGGAACATCTTCCACTGGTAGATTTGGCCATAGTGGATAAATCTTGGATGAAATCCTAGAGGTGTTTTCCATCCTCAGTGGATCTATGACCCTTTTCAAAGGATGTCTCTTTTTGCAACATGACCTCCATGAGGATTTGTTACCATAAATTCTCAGTGGGACCCCATAAAGGTCACTGTGCCAAGCCCCACACAAACACTGGGGAGCCATCCCCACCCCAGACACTTCTCACCCAAACCAACACTTTTCTCTCTTTCAACAGAGAGCTGAGAGCAGGGAAAAGTGAACAACCTGATTAGGGATTTTCTTTCTTGATGAAAAACTATTTTCCTAGAATCATGAAGGTCAGAAGAGACCTCCAAGGTTGAGTCCAACCTTTGACCAACACATTTGTTGGAACTCAAAATGTCTCTCAGACATTTTTAGAGGTTCCAGGCCTTGGTCAGAAGCATTTTAGACCCTGGCAGGCAGCTGCAAACAGCTGTGATTTTGAGTTTGAGCCATGGAATGAGTTACCAACTTTGGAGGTGGAACAAGCAGTCACAAAGGGTTAGATAGTATAGGAAAAGTAGTTACAAAACAGAGGGAAATTTTTCTAGTATTGTACAGGGGGGTTTTAGCACCTGTACAGGGGGGTTTTTACTTTGTACATGGGGGTCAGAAGTTCTAAGATGGAGGAAAGTGGGCTGATCCTGTTCTTCCTCCTTCTTCTTCCTTGCCTCCATGTTCTTGGTGATGTTGGCACTCACAGATTGGTTTAGAGTAGAAAAGCACTTTGTAGTATAGGTAGTAGCTATTAGGGGAAAACTATAAACATGTAAAACGTAATATATCATATAAAAGACAGCAGCAGCCCTGGGCGGGGGGAGAGAAGAAGACAGCAGACAGAGAAGATGTCAGGGTGTGTGTGTGCCTCTGCCTGAGCTGCTGAGAAAACTGCAGTAGCCAGAGAAGAAAATCTTTTAGATAACTCACAATAAACTGCCTTGAGACCGAACAGCAAGAGCCTGCACAGTTTTTCTTTGGTAGCTCGGGTTGGAGGAGGAATTTCACCACCACATGGGACTCCAGAGCAAGGCTGGGGATCCCACACACACTGCCAAGTGATCCAGAGCACTGGGTGCCACATCCAGTCATTCCTTGGACACCTCCAGGGATGGAGACTCCACCACCTCCATGGGCAGCCCATTCCAATGCCTGGCCACCCTTCCAGTGAAGGAATTTCTCCTGGTGGCCAAGGGGAAGCTCAGCTCCTTCCAGACCAAGAAGGAGCTGCTTGTCTGCATAGCACAGGGGTGTTGGGCTCCAGGTTCCTTCCAGACTGCATTTCCCAGGGAATGTGAGAATCTCCATGGCCAAAAGACAGGACTGTGGTGCTCTGGACACAGCAGGAGAGGAACAGGTTGGAGTCACCACGTTTCCAAACAGCAATTCCCAGGAGGTATCGCAGTAACTTCTCTCCAGACTGAAATATTTCCATTCCAGTCAAAACACGTTGGGTGCTATTTTTGCCAAAAAATCAGCTACTGGAGGAGGGAGACGAAGGAAATGTTTTCTCACTAAATATCAAAAATATTCTCTTTCTTCCATTTTGATGTTTTTCAATTCACAAAGGCCATTATTTCTGTAATTCTACATATTCCTCCTTATAGGAGCTGAGCTGAAATGAATCTTTGGTATCTTCTAAAGCAACAATCATCTTAAAATATTTATATTTTTTCCTGAACCCACTCAACTTGTAGAGTGTACACCTATCATTTTTAAAGACTAAAACTAAACTAAACTAAAATAGATCAACATCTTTTTTTTTCTAAAAATCACTATTCCCAAATTAGTGGTTGTCATCCTGAGCAATAGTTGAATAGAATGAAAGGTTTCTGTCATATCCAGAAATGTTGCTGTCCAAAAAAACTCTGTAGCAAAGAAGGTGAAAAATGTATTAAAGCTTGACTTAAGCAATGTAGGAAATTGTCCACATAGCAAGGATGAGGTTGTTGATGCTTCTGGGCCAGAACGTTTGTTTTACGTGGGGTGTTAATAGACTACTTTCATTTCTGCATTAAAAATTGCAAAACTAAAAGAATTTTTTTTAAAAGTTGATTGGGAAAAAAATTTACAAGGAAAAAACATGTCCCTGGTCTATTTAAAGTCTGTTGGAGGCTAATAATGAATATTTAGTTAGAAGGGGACAGGAAGGAGCAGCGCAAGGTGCTGTGTAGTATTTTGATTTTTGTTAAAACTTGGGAAAAGAAATAATGAATAATGTCCAAGACTGTCAGTGCTGAAGTCTGGACTCTGTTCTTGCCTCCCACCTGGCCAGAGGTTTCCCAAATCCACAGGGTTGGACAGCAGCTCTGCAGAACTTCCCTGTAGCACCCACATTCCACTTCCAATCCCTCACAGAACTCCCACCCCACAGATCAGGCCCGAATCCCTCCTGCAATCCCCAATCTCAAACCCCACCTGTGCCAGGTGGAATTAGAAACTCATTCCTTTTTCTCTCATGACAACTTCCCCTTTCCCTGGCCAAGTGATGCTTTCACCACAACAGACTCCAGAGTTTTGTAAGATCATTTCTGCTACAAACTCATGGCCAGTAAAGAATTCAAAGGAGCAAATTCAAGATGATTTTGCAATCTCGGAACCAGAAAAACCTTGTTGGCCACTGCAAATTACTAATAACTGGAAAAATGATAAATACAGACCTGCACAGAGCAACATCCAGTTCTCTTTCTTGCTTATTGCTACACTCTAAGAGAATAACAATTTTCCATATATTTTCATGTGCAGACATGAAGTTTCCTGATGTACCAGCCAAGGCATAGTAAATGAAGCTTCCAGACAAAAACCTGGTTAAAAATCTGTTCAAAAATCCACAGTTTAGGATCAGGAAGCTCCAGCATTGAAGCATCCAGTCCCTACTGGCCATCAACAAGTTATTTTGAACATGTTCCTGATATTTCTGCAACAAAAGCTTGGATACCTCAAGGCTTTCCAGAGCTGCTGTAGCTCATGGCAACAAGGCTTCAAAAAACTT